AATTCGTAGAAATTTATTATATATCATCAATATTTTTTGATTCTCAGAAATTTATTATATATCATCAATATTTTTATTCATTCTTAATTTATTTTTACGAATCTTATATCGATTTCGAAGATAGCGAAAAAAATGATTCGAAACGGTGAAATAAATTTACGCGAGATTTAAATCTACGGCAAATAGAATTATTATAGAAAATTTTTTAGATGGCCTCGTGCCGTACAATCGTCTATATATCTTAATGCCCTTATATCTATGAAGAAAATCCTATAAGATAGGATCCCATAGATATTGATAGAAGGATATCTCAGACGCGTGGGTGATATAAGAGTCATTCCGTTCTAAATATGCAGCCAGCTGAGCTATGCCGGCAATGCTAGAATGGTAGAGCCGAATCTACCGATTGTACGCAATCCTCAAAACCCAAAGTCGCAATCCCCGAAACACCGTCCTCCCACCAAAATCTTCTGCCCGGATATCACGGATCAACAACAATTTATTGAGTCAGGACTTCAAGACCCTTGCCGGCCCACCAACACGTAAAGCATCTCCGTCGAAACACCTGAAAACAAACATAGGCCCAAAGGGTCCAAAGTACCGATATAGTAGAATGTAGAGTTTCCATCTTCGGAATTACTTCGATAATTTGGGGAAGTATCCCCCATCGCAGAACTTTCCACAGGTCAATTCACACTTTTGTCCCTCGTAGTAGCCCTATGAAGCCCTGCCAGGACCCCTGACGTAAAATTCCCACAAATTGACAACACTTCCCACAGAGCCCAACACCCGTTAGTCAAGCCATCTATGAATTATGTATGTGATTACACATATATCTCTTAAACCATAAGTATTTTCAAGTAACTCAAGAACTTAAGGTATAAATCATATTCTTTGATTGCCAATTAGGGAAGCAGTCTATTTGGGACATCTCACAGCACATCCTTGCGCATCTCGTGGCCGTAGATGTAAGTGGGCGCCCGAGGGGTGACAACTTGACGCAGCACTCGCCTCGACATTCGGGTTTAGATGGAGAAGGGCATGCGAGAAAACAATTTCTGTTGTTTCGAAGGCTGTTATGGCTTGCTATGTTCGGTCTTCGGGAAACTACTGCTGACATGAAGATTGAGGGTGTAGAACTTGCCGAATCTGTATATAATGTTTGGGCCAACACGTCGTCACATAAGTAAACCGGCCACTAGTTGAGAGACCGACCCACCGTTCCATTAGGAGATCAACACAAACTGAGATCGTACATCACTGCCGTTGCGAGTGTTTTTTCATCGATCGAAGGTTCAAGATAAAGGCGAGACTTGGGGCTGCAAGAGCTTCGGGTTTAGAGTTCAGAGCCGTTGGGATTTGTTTTTTTTTGAGTTTAGAAGTTTAGGCTTGAGAGGCTGCCGTACTATTTCGGGGAACCTAAAACTGGACTCACATTAAGAGACCGAGCCGTATCTGTTTCAGGTTTGTATTGATTTGCGGTTGTCATAGGTAGCTGGACGATGCTGCCTGGAAGCAACCCTCACTTCAGACTTTCGAAAACCTTGCACCAAGACTAGGCCCTGAAAGCTCTAAAGCCCTAATCATCCTAAACTCGACAACAAAAGGCCTCAAAGTGAAATCCACTCAGCCTGAACACGATAAGACCCAAACACTTAAGCCTTAAGCCCTCAACCCTCAATCCAAAGGCCCCCGGCGTCGTCTTATCTTCTTGCGTCTGAACGAAGATCGCTGCGGAGAGGTCCTCGGAGTCAGTTGGGACTTTCGGGTTTATGATTTCGGGTTCAAGCGTTTAGGGTGCAGACTGCAAAAGTCATTGACGTTACTTGACCTGATTCCTAGAGGGCGTTATGGTTGGCCTTGGGGATGAACTACAAAGATGTATAAAGGAGTTGTGGCACCACTTTTCCCCCTATGCTGTACACCGGCCACAAACACTTTGGCCATTGGGTTGGGAAACTGGACGAAGGGTCCAAGTACACCATAGTTCTTTACCACCCGGGATACGTGCTATGCCACAGCTAGAATCATGAATATGCCACGTACTAAGGCCCTGTACCACAGCCCGTTGGTAGTCCTCAGACACCTGTAGATGGAAGCTGGAAGTCACAAGGCAACTATATCAGCGGATGGCTCCGATGGAGACCTTGCGCATCCCCAGGCTTTCCGCTTAGGGTTCGCTCCAGCGGTATGTTGGTTTGTGTGCTCAGGGACGTAGTAGGATCACAGTAAGGGTTCTACAAGGGTGCGAAGGGCCTTAAGGTTTTAATCTTTGACTAGGGTTTGGCGGTAAAAGTATTTTACTAGATACAGCGAGAATCACAGTTAAACAACAACCATAACAAGGAAACCTAAAGAATATTGTTGGTCATTATCCAGGCCTCAATGGTATCGAATTCTTCTTGTTATCTCCATCACACCAGAGAATAGAAAACACACACACACACACGCGCGCGTGCACAGCTGCCTTCATCCTCCACACCAGAGTCCCCGTGCCTTGTGATTTTCGCGCTCGTCTCTATACCATCTTCGTCGCCGAGATCACGGAAAAACGATCATGAACCCTATAACTTACAAAAACCCTGTGATTCCTTAACCGTCCGTCTCTGTAGCTGAGGATCAGCCCCGGGTGAGGTAGTCCAAAGTCTGCTGCAGGTTGGCAGCATTCACGGGGAAGCCCGCCCGAGCTTTCCTTCCAGCTAAGATCTACAGTAAGGGGATGGAACTACTTGGGAAGGCCAAGCTTGCCTGGTAGGGAGCTTGTCCGGGAAAGGATGTGCTTTTGCCGCGGTCTTTTTGCTCTTCCCCGTCAGAAAGCTCCGGATCTAATCCTCTACAGTTCCTACTGTTTCATCGGTGCGAGACTCAGCAGCCGCGGCCTCCCTTCTCGGCGACAGAGGCCTCATGAAAGAGTGGATCCGAAGATGCCGAAGCAACGGATCCTTTCTGAGCTAGGATCCCGAGCGACTCTCCATAAGGGTTTATGGGTTACTGGCGTTAGGCTTCAGGGCTTTATAGGGTTTAGTGTCATGAGCGTACACACCAACCGGTTTCCAAACTGCACCTCAGCAATCCTCAATTCTGGTCGAGCTCTAAAACCCACTGCAGGTCGGCTGCCGCCATAGTTTTTAAGACTCTATGAGCAAGGGCTTTTTTACAACTGCAGATGGCTTCATACTCAAGAACCTAGCGCTGCTGGAGCGCCTGGCGGCTGACGTGTCCTCCGCCTTCTTGGCCTCGGCCCTCTGGCGCCGCTCCGCCAGGTAAGCCATGGCGAAGGCGACCATCATGACGATGCAGATCCCCTCAGCTTCGGTGAAGGTGCCATGAAACCCTTATGAGGAAATGAGCAAGAAGGGAACGGGGCGGCTGGGTATAGCAGCCGGGCGTCTCCGGCAATCGCGCAGATCAGGAAGACCAGGAGGCGCTGCGTCAAGGCGGACTTCGCCCAGTGCAGGTCGTTGGCCTCGGCTACGGAAGCTGCCGAAAATTGCAGCACTCACTCTGAGACCCCAGAAACGCTGTCGCTGAGTGCAAGCCAGCAGCTATGAGGCAGGTGGTCATGCCAGTGATGGTCAGGCTCACGATCAGAAGCCCGATCTCTGCGCGGTTCCAGTCATCTGCCTCACTCGATCAGCGAAGGAAAAACTAGAACGCATGCACAGAGGACCCATGCACAGACTTGCTGAACTGCTACAACAGCGAAATTGCAGTTAATTGGGCCAGGCCGCCTGGTATGGCCAGAAGTACAGATGTGCCACGAGGGATGCGATCAGAACCAAAGTCACGGCTTCCATCTGAAGTGCCTCAAGATCTCCCGACTTCCAAAAGATGGCACAAACCGCTCCTTCCATTGAATTCAAACTGGACTGATCATACAAATGCTTACGGTTTATGTATCTAAGTTCATAAGTTGTACGTAGACACACATAAATACATGCTCTGATTGCAGTGCATTGCATAAAACCTGCATACTGCACGGCATATCGTCTTGCTGTCTGTATTGCATGTCGCATGTTGTATATCGGATTGCCCAGTGTATTGTCTAGTGTCTGTTGTTTCGTTTAAGGCTTATACTGTCTATAGTCTATTTTCTATTGTAGTATCTAATAGTTCTCTTCTGCTATTTTGTGTCCAATTCTATTTCATCCAATTCTATTCCATTCTATTGCGTGGTTTTGTATCGTCGGGCAAAGCCTTTTTGGGGTGTCATGGGCTGCTGTGCAGACGAGGCCGCGGGTGACAAAGTGACCGGCAGGACGGTGGCGACCAGCGCCAAGACCACCTGTAGGGGCCAGGGCTGCTTCAAGCGTTCCCTTAACGGTGCAGAGCGAGCTTAGGTTTCGGGATCTTCAGGCAAGGAAAGGCTCCTTTCAGGTCTTGGTCATTCTGTGATTCTAAAAATTCCGTTTCGCTTCTTGTGACCTCGATCCACACAAAGCCTGCAAGTGCACTTGAGCTGTTCATGAAACCCCAGACCATATGAGACCAGTATGACAGGGAAGCTGCACGCATCGTCACAGGTCCGGCTAGCAGGAGGTCAGTACATCGTGCCCCGCCCCGAGCAGGCCTTACGCATCAGCCGCTCCACCTGGCGGTCATTGCGGCTTATGGGCCTATTGGGCAGGCACTTCGCCTAAGTTAACTCCGAGATGCCGTGGGCACAGTGCCAAACCGCTTGACTCAAAGACTCGAGCGATAGGGTTTCCGCAAGGAGGGGCAAGCATAGCAGGCCCTAAACCTTAAAGCCCCAAGCCCTAAACCCGAAAACCCTGAAGCCCTAAGCCCGTAAGCCGCAAACTCCGAAGCCCTAGACCGTTGCTAACGGCGATCCGCCAAGGCCCCGCCTCCCAAATGGCGCACTCCGGTCGGTATGCCTGGATCAGATAGGCCACGTGCGGCCGCGTCTCCTTCGGCGGTCGGGTTCGGACCTGTCGCGGTTTGAGGCTTGAGGGTTCAGCAGGGTATGATAGAGGTTTATAGGGCTCAGGATATTGTAGTTTGGACTGTTTGTCGGCTCTGTTGTCGAAAGGCGGCTGGATGTGCATCTCTGGCAACCAGTGGCGACCAAGGCACTGCGTAGATCCAGCTGCACACGCTCAGGGCCGAGAAGCCGAGGATGGCACCCAGCACTGCTGCGATCCGAAGCGGAACGTAGGAACTCATCTGCGGCCCCGGGGGAAGGAAGTCCAAACGCAGCGCCTGAAGCGTGCGAACTTTTCCCTCAGCCGGAATCCAAAAGCCTAAAGCCTAAACCCTTTATCTAGACTGCCCATATAGACCCTCTAAGCCCGGAACCCTATAAAAACCAAACGAGGGCCCCAGCGCGAAGGGCAGGCAGGCATGCAGAGAGCCTCGTTCTCCGATTCGGGCCGGAGCCGGAAGGCCACGAGGTACCTCGGCCAATGCGACGTGATCCCATGAACCTAAATTAATGAACTCAACCCTGCAAAACTAACATAGACCAAAAACCCTGAAGCCCTAAACCGGGCCGCGCAAAGGGGAACCGAGGAGCTTCCCGAATCCGGCGATGAAGGCTGGCAGGAAGACGTTGCTTCCAACCACGGCCGCAAGCCAGCCGCCCTTGATCACGGCGAGGCCTGCCTGAGAGTTCTCGGGCTTACAGGGTTTATAAGCTCTGGGAGTTTGGGGTTTATAGGATGTATACATGGTTATGATTATAGGTTTATAGAGTCGGGTGAAAGAAGCACTTACATTCGAGGAAGCTTCGGGTGGCCCTGGTCCGGGAACGACTGACTCCAAGCATTTGATGCCATGCACTCAATGCAGCTCAGGATGCCACAAGCAGCGCTGGCCAGAGGGACATCAGCATGTGCACGTGGTGGATGCTGCTGTCCATGTTAAGCAGCTGAAGCAGGCACTGGCCTGACATGCTGCTGCTGCCGGCATCGCTGGAGCCTTGCCCTTGTGCGACAGATGCCGGCACTGTCAACATCTGCAGAACCACCTGCCGAGTTATGCGAGGCTAGGAGAATGTGGAAACAGAACGGCACATTTGACGGGAGGTAAGGGTTGAAAGGGAATGTAAGGTTGCGAACATGCGAAAAGGGGGGTCCTGTGCTGCATGGTCGAGATCGTTCTTGAAGGTGCCCGTTTGCATGGCGCCGGACCTCGGGAGCTCAGCAAAGCTCAGCACAAAGCCTCCGCAGAGCCCGATGGCAAACTCCCATCAACTACCATGTCATACTTTGTGTGGGTTCTTCTCATAAAGCCTCGATATAGAATCTATAGAGACCCTACACTCAGGCTTTCACAAGCACCACTTTCGTTCCGAGGCGCATGGTCACACCGGCCACAGCGGCGAAGGACATTGCCTGATTCAGCAGTGTGGCACTGGCGGCCCTCTTGCCCCCGCTGCCCTCCACCTTAGGGCAGTACTCGAGCTAAGTCGACGGCAGCAAATGCGGCTCAGGACTTTCCGTTACACCCCGGGGCCACGGCACTTACCACCGCCGAGGCGAAGAGGGCCAGGTTCTTCAAGAGGAAGAAGCTGACATACGACACCACCTTGAAAATCGCACTTCCCACCCCGGCCGTTTTCTGCCTAGTCTGCTTTTTACCGGCCTGCTTTGGTGAGGTGGTCCAGTTGGCGCAGGGGACGCACCACAGAATGTCCGCATCTGCACGTGCGTGGCCTTCAGTGCAGCTCGTGCACCTCGACACGGGTTTTCAGCGTCTCAAGGGAACCCCGCCTTCCCGCTCCCAGTTTCGATTCTTTCTCTCCTGATTTTTTTCCTTCTGTCTGTCTTTAGTTCCACCTATTGCAGTTTCAATTCCATGCCTCCTGCCTCCTCCTTCCTCCCTCCTCCCACCACCGTCCCGCCTAGCCCGTGTGTTCGCCCTCCCTCCTGGTCCCTGCCCCCCCCTCTGACTGATGAAAACCTGCTCCGACGGCACTGCTACCGTTTTGTGGGTGAAGGTTCAATGACAAAAAACCACCTCTATACTGGATCCCTGACAAAAATTTCGATTTAAGTTGCCACAACACGGAAACAACATAACTTTGCTATTGTCGAAAACTTTAACTACTACCGCAAACAAAAACCAGTGGGTGGTCGGCCATCTATCGCGCGAGATTGAAATTGACGAAACAGCGATTGGCGGGCCAAATGACGTAAAACAGCACTTTTCACCACCATCGGCTCTCTTTCTTTCTTTCGGTATTTATTTCTGTCTTTCTTTCGGTCTTACTTTCTGCAGGCTTCAGGGCCTGTCCCTCTTTGCTCTCTGACTCTCTCTCTCTCTCCCTCCTTCCCCGGCCGCAAATCTGCACCAAGGGTCCCAGGGCCACCATAGCCCTCTTGGCACATGGGAACCAGCTCCTGCCAGCACGCACCTTGACACCGGGCCCTCACTCCCCAATGTCTCCCATAATTGCGTGATGTTCTTGCGACGGCTACGGTGGCAGTCATCCGAAACAATAAACATGCTCTTGCTTCAAGCTGCATGACTAAGCCAAGCCAATCTCAGCTAGTCCCACGTCTCCAGCCTTGGAGCTTCAGAATCCCAAAGAGGCCCTCGAAGCGCCTGAGATCCATCCGACTCCAACCCCGTCCTGCGCACGCTCGCCGGGGACGCTGCTGGCATTGAAGTGGCCGCCGGGGCAGGCCTGAGCTAAGCACGGCTCTTGCAACACTATGTTGCGGGCCAAGCAAACCTCTTGAACGGTCATCTGACATACAAGTTCAAGCGCAAGGGGCCATCTCGTTGGGGCACCGATACCAGGCGGAGAGATTTGAGGCCACGTCGCGATCGAAGTCCACCTCTGCGTGAGCTGGGGCATCGCACGAAGCAACAGCTGAGAGCTGAGCAGAAGGATCCGAGCGGCAGCCCGAGGCCCGGACCATGTAGCCGGCCGGCATGCGCAGCTCCGTGGATGTGCAGAAAATGGTCACGTTTTGCGTGTTGGGGCAGGGTGTGCAGCTGGCATTGTCCTGCACAACACAGCAAGCTAAGAGACAATCCGTGGGCTGCGAGGCGAATGGAAACCCGGCAGGTCGAAGTGAAGGCCCCAACATTTCTTGGAACTGCAGCGGGAAACCGCTTCTACCTTCTACCGTCTCGGCTGTGGTGCAGAAGCTGATAGCGGGTCGACACCAGCAAACATGAAAAGCATAACCAAGCGGCCCAAGCATGCCTAAACAAAAGCATGCGAAGCGCGAGTCAAATCATACGGTGTCGACGCCAAGTCTTCCGTGATCTTCCATGCAGCCATGTCCCATGCTTGATCTACCATAACCTATAGACTTTTCTGTAGATGAAAAACGAAAATGGAATTCATGGGGACCCTGCAGCAAAGCAGGTTCTGGTAGTCTATAAGAAAAACTCAGTACTAGACTTACTAAACATGTCTGAACTGGTGGACATTCGACTTCTTGCTCCGGATTTTCAGGGATCTCAGCAACGAATTCGTTTACTTTGTTTCTGAAGCTTCTGCTTCAGTTGAGAGTTCCGAGTCGTGCTGCTTGTGCTGCCGGAACCAGACAAAGTGCAAGCGCCTCCCACAACAGTACTCAGCGACTCCTGGACCCGACTGCCCCCCAGAACCCAGGATCGAACCGAGCCTGGTCCACTGCAACAAGGCGGATCTCACCTGCTGGACATTCGCGGCACGCCGCACCATCGTCATCTGCCAGAGCTTGGCGGCTTTCTCCCCGCTGACACAGAAGCTGATCCAGCTGCATCTTTGCAACAGCCAGAGTGCAGCCCGGCGCTTGGCGGCAGTCCACTTTGCCAATCTCGACGCTCGCACTAGGTTCGGTGGTGGCAACAATCGAAGGTGCCGGGAGGAGCCTTGAGCCGCTTCCAAGCGTCATGCTTCCAACGCTTGCATTGCCGGATTCGAGCTGCAGGACCCCTGCAGTCGGGGCACTGCAGTCGCTGCAGCTGATTCGTTTCGACACGAGCGTTCCTTGGGCATAGACAGCGCCGCCTGTACCTTGGGCCTTGCAGCCCTTCAAAAAGAGCGGGGCCGCGAACTCAGCCCCGGCTTTGACGTGGATGCAGCCACCGTGGCTTGCGGCTGCGCAGTTGGAAACGTGCAGATGGCTGGCCTTCCCACGAAAGGTATCATTTAACCATCCTGAAGATATCCGATCAGTATGATCCAGTCTTCCACCACGGGGTAAGGGTTAGGAGGCGGAGAGCAACATGGCAACCATTTTACTCCCTGCCTTGTTATTGATCCACTCCGCCACGACGCCGCCGCCTCTATCTGCCTGGGAGTCGCGGATGGTGAGCATGGCCATCTCCTCCATCGTGATGTTGACTGCGAAAATGCCACCTGGCCATGGAAAGACTCCCGATAAATGGATCAGCATGGGTATGCCACACTAAAAACTTGCAGAAGCGATAGTCCCCTGTCGCTTGGAAAACCTGACCCTCCTCTCCTCCCGAACGGCGTCTCAAAGCACCTTCAAAGCGTCCGCACTCCCGCAACCGGGCCCGGTGCCTCCTTCGTGCTTGGCTGTGCAGCCCTGAAGGCTGACGGCGCCGCCGGACTGCTCGAAAGCGCGGTTAGCATAGATGCAGCCTCCGGAGCAGGTGTGGATTGGCCTTTAGGAACCAGCAATAGTCCGAAAGTCACCGAAGTATCGGAAGCGAATGTGCTGCGACAGTAGCAGCTTGACCGATTTGTTTTCCCTTCAAGTCACCAGCCAAGTGCCGGTGTGCTGGCATAATTCAATCATGCTATGTTTGAACTGTTTTCTCACGAAAGCAGAAGGCTGGAGCGTTCAGCCTGTGACGGCTCACGCCAGCCACGAGACTGAAGGATGAACTTCATTCGACTCGCGGCTTCAGCGAGAGCCCCGCGACAATAAGGCACGGCACTACCCAACATGCAAGCATCTTCACTCCACGGTTTTCTGATTTCTTTAGTCGAAAAGCGAACTGCTGCGATGGAGGCGATCTTGCAGGAGCAGTTGCCCATGGTTGAACAACGAAGACCAGTGAAGCAGCACCAGCAGCTGGGAGCTTCTACAAAAGCTTTCACGACCAGAATTTGCGCGCGTAATGGCTGATAGTTTGAAACCTGCTCTATCTCAGAACAAACTTAACGAACAGATTTGCAAGGGAATCCGGTCCCAATGGCCAAACTAGGCCGCTTCGCTTGTTACCACCGACCGGATCTCTGATACTACCACACGATCTCGAACGGTCGGTTGTTCAGGCGACAAGGCCGATGATGATATGGCGAGCTGACCTTCCTGTCTTTTTCCAGAATCAGCCCTCGGCCGGCAAGAAATCACAAGTTATGTTGCATTCAAACAAGAATCAGCCCTCGACACCAAAATCTCTGTCAAGGCTTGTTTCCTGCCATCCTAGCCATATATTTATCACGAGCTAAGGCAGCTAAGGCTGAAAACCGCACAAGCGGGAAGCCAGGAAAACACTCGTTTTGTCGTAATACTTGCTCTGATACGGCAGGGGCCGCATCTGCTGCAAACATCTCAGCCTTGAACTCGAAAAACCCTCTGCCCCAAATTGCAAAGCCCATGCCGCTCTGCACGCCACTCTTTGAAGGGAATCGGACCAAGCAAGCGACCACTCCCCCTGCCTCCAGACTGCGAAGCCTCAGACTCCTTGATATTCATGTTGCCGCCGGAGACGTTCATGCACCGCTTGACAAAGATGGCACCTGCGCGTGTGGCAGCTTCGCTCAACCGCTGCCTCCGAATATGCCCGAAGCAGCTGGTAACAAATGCAAAACGGAGAGGCTCGGGCAGAAACCTTTGCTGAGACTTAGCTGGTGGTTGCTTCTCATCGGGCTTCAGACTTCCGGAGGCAAAAGTCAACCCGCGGACATGGCTGCTGTTCGGCTGGCTACGAGCCCGATTGATGAACTTCATGGCATCGCAAAACCATCTGCAAGGGAGCACGCGGGCATTTTCGTGTTGGAACGCTACTGCGACCGCCAAGCTGTTGACAGAGGAATGGCTTATCAACAACATGGTTTGAGGCCCTGAGCTACTGATTCTTAAAGTCGCAGTTGAAGGTGCTGCTAGATCGGCTAGGTGCCAGCGTAAACAATCGCATCAGTCAGCCAGCGCATACTCGTTGCTTGCGGTTGGGAAGACTGCCCTTCAGCCGCGGAGTAAAGCACTGCAAACGCTGTATGTAAACTGCTGTATCCAATGGCACCTGAACATTGCTTATGACATGCATGTGTCATGCCTTGCTGCGTTACTGCAGGGCCAGCATCTGCCTGCAAACCTCTCAAGCTTTGAACTCGAAGAACCCTCCGCGCAGTTTTGCAGAGACCACGACTCGCTGCGTGCCACTTCTTCGCGGATCCCTCGTCCCACGTTGCATGACCAAGAAAGTGACCCACTCCCCCCGCCTCCGCTCCCATCGTGAACCGTAGACCCCCTGATGGTCACGTTGCCACCGGAGACGCTAATGCTCCCTGCACTGATGGCACCTGCACGCGTGGCAGCTTCGCTCAACTACTGCCTACACACACCTATACCCGCATCCCAAGCAGCTTCCAACAGATGCGCAACGGAGAGGCTACTGTGTCGTATCAGGCCTGTCGAGATGCATGGCGCAGACAAGATCCTAACCGTCCTAACCCGAAGCCCTAAACCCGAAACCGGCACTTCCGGGGCCGGGCCGTTCGCCACTCGCGAGTGTCACAGACCGAGCAGACTTGCGAATTATGTTGGCTATCCCCACCTCCCTGGTCATCCGTTTGATGCTCCCGTGTCCCCAACAAGCGGGCGGACAAAAACAACAGAACTCGGGCCACATGTCCAAATACAAGTTAGCCAATCTGACACGAATCAGACTTGTTTGAGCTGTTTGAGCACTAAGGCGATGTCTTGGTCAATGTTCCCTTGTGTCGGAAACAAGATCAGAATGTGCTCGGCGCGTTCTTAATTATCGCCTGCCCGTGGGCATATTCTTCTAACAGTTGCCCGTGCTTGAACAACGAAGCCCAGTTAAACGCGATTCTTGTGCGAGTGGAGATGCCAGAAGCATGTGAGCATCTGAAAAAAATAGGCGGCAATGTAATTTGATGAAGCATCATGAAAGCTCTTTGGCGATCAACGCCCCGCCACTCCGCGAAACCGCAGGTTTCCCGGAACCACACATCGGGTGAACTTCTCCAGAGCAGCGCTAGCAAACATAGTAGTCAAATTGTAGAAGCACCAGCAGCGCGGAGCTTGCAGAGGCGTTCACGACCAGAATTTGCACGTGTACTGGTTGATAGCTTGAAAGCCGCACCAGCATTCTAAACTTAACCAACGTAGTTGCAAAGAACTCGGTCAAGACTTGAAGCATCGACCGAATCCTGCATGCGACCGACATGATGTCAAACCGTCGGCTGTCCAGGCGAGAGAGAAGATAACGATATGCAAGCTGACCTTCTTCCTTGCAGAATCAGCCCTCGACATCAACATTTCTGCCAAGGCCTCTTTCCTGCCATTCTAACCTTGCTCATGTTGCAACAATGCTGTAACTGCTACGACTGAAAGACACACTCGCGAGAAGACCCGGTAAACATTGGTTTCAAACGCATGACTTGCTGTGTTGCTATGTGTTGCTGCAGGGCCAGCATCTGCCTGCAAACCTCTCAAGCTTTGAACTCGAAGAACCCTCCGCGCAGTTTTGCAGAGACCACGACTCGCTGCGTGCCACTTCTTCGGGGATCCCTCGTCCCACGTTGCATGACCAAGAAAGTGACCCACTCCCCCCGCCTCCGCTCCCATCGTGAACCGTAGACCCCCTGATGGTCACGTTGCCACCGGAGACGCTAATGCTCCCTGCACTGATGGCACCTGCGCGCGTGGCAGCTTCGCTCAACTACTGCCTACACACACCTATACCCGCATCCCAAGCAGCTTCCAACAGATGCGCAACGGAGAAGCTACTGTGTCGTATCAGGCCTGTCGAGATGCATGGCGCAGACAAGATCCTAACCGTCCTAACCCGAAGCCCTAAACCCGAAACCGGCACTTCCGGGGCCGGGCCGTTCGCCACTCGCGAGTGTCACAGACCGAGCAGACTTGCGAATTATGTTGGCTATCCCCACCTCCCTGGTCATCCGTTTGATGCTCCCGTGTCCCCAACAAGCGGGCGGACAAAAACAACAGAACTCGGGCCACATGTCCAAATACAAGTTAGCCAATCTGACACGAATCAGACTTGTTTGAGCTGTTTGAGCACTAAGGCGATGTCTTGGTCAATGTTCCCTTGTGTCGGAAACAAGATCAGAATGTGCTCGGCGCGTTCTTAATTATCGCCTGCCCGTGGGCATATTCTTCTAACAGTTGCCCGTGCTTGAACAACGAAGCCCAGTTAAACGCGATTCTTGTGCGAGTGGAGATGCCAGAAGCATGTGAGCATCTGAAAAAATGAGGCGGCAATGCAATGTGATGAAGCATCATTAAAGCTCTTTGGCGACCAACGCCCCGGCAACTCCGCGAAACCGCAGGTTTCCCGGAACCACACATCGGATGAACTTCTCCAGAGCAGCGCTAGCAAACATAGTAGTCAAATTGTAGAAGCACCAGCAGCGCGGAGCTTGCGGAGGCGTTCACGACCAGAATTTGCACGCGTACTGGTTACTGGTTGATAGTTTGAAAGCCGCACCAGCATTCTAAACTTAACCAACGTAGTTGCAAAGGATTCGGTCAAGGCTTGAAGCATCGACCGAATCCTGCATGCGACCGACATGATCTCAAACTGTTGGCTGTCCAGGCGAGAAAGCTGGTAATGATATGCAAGCTGACCTTCTTCCCTGCAGAGTCAGCCCTCGACACCAACATTTCTGCCAAGGCCTCTTTCCTGCCATCCTAACCTTGCTCATGTTGCAACAATGTTGTAACTGCCACGCTAAGTCGGCTCGCGCTAAACGACGCACTCGCGGGAAGACCAGGTGAGCATTGGTTTCAAACGTATGACATGCTGTGTTACTGCAGGGGCAGCATCTGCCATCTGCCTGCAAACCTCTCAAGCGTTGAACTCGAAGAATCCTCCGCGCAGTTTTGCAGAGACCACGACGCTTTGCGTGCCACTTCTTCGGGGATCCTTCGTCCCATGTTGCATGACCAAGAAAGTGACCCACTCCCCCCGCCTCCATTATCAGAGGACCTAGACCCCTTGATGGTCAGGTTGCCACTGGAGACGACCACGCATAGATGGCACCTGCGCGCGTGGCAGCTTCGCTCAACTACTGCCTACACACACCTATACCCGCATCCCAAGCAGCTTCCAACAGATGCGCAACGGAGAAGCTACTGTGTCGTATCAGGCCTGTCGAGATGCATGCCGCAGAAAAGATCCTAACCGTCCTAACCTGAAGCCCTAAACCCGAAACCGGCACTTCCGGGGCCGGGCCGTTCGCCACTCGCGAGTGTCACAGACCGAACAGACTTGCGAATTATGTTGGCTATCTCCACCTCCGTGGTCATCCGTTTGATGCTCCCGTGTCCCCAACAAGCGGGCGGACAAAAACAACAGAACTCGGGCCACATGTCCAAATACAGGTTAGCCAATCTGACACGAATCAAACGTGTTTGAGCTGTTTGAGCACTAAGGCGATGTCTTGGTCAATGTTCCCTTGTGTCGGAAACAAGATCAGAATGTGCTCGGTGCGTTCTTAAGGATCGCATGCCAGTGGGCATATTCTTCTAACGGTTGCCCGTGCTTGAACAACGAAGCCCAGTTAAAAGCCATTCTTGTGCGAGTGGAGATGCCAGAAGCATGTGAGCATCTGAAAAAAAGAGGCGGCAATGCAATGTGATGAAGCATCATGAAAGCTCTTTGGCGACCAACGCCCCGGCAACTCCGCGAAACCGCAGGTTTCCCGGAACCACACATCGGATGAACTTCTCCAGAGCAGCGCTAGCAAACATAGTAGTCAAATTGTAGAAGCACCAGCAGCGCGGAGCTTGCAGAGGCGTTGACGACCAGAATTTGCACGTGTACTGGTTGATAGCTTGAAAGCCGCACCAGCATTCTAAACTTAACCAACGTAGTTGCAAAGAACTCGGTCAAGACTTGAAGCATCGACCGAATCCTGCATGCGACCGACATGATGTCAAACTGTCGGCTGTCCAGGCGAGAGAGAAGATAACGATATGCAAGCTGACCTTCTTCCTTGCAGAGTCAGCCCTCGACATCAACATTTCTGCCAAGGCCTCTTTTCTGCCATTCTAACCTTGCTCATGTTGCAACAATGCTGTAACTGCTACGACTGAAAGACACACTCGCGAGAAGACCCGGTAAACATTGGTTTCAAACGCATGACTTGCTGTGTTACTATGTGTTGCTGCAGGGCCAGCATCTGCCTGCAAACCTCTCAAGCTTTGAACTCGAAGAACCCTCCGCGCAGTTTTGCAGAGACCACGACTCGCTGCGTGCCACTTCTTCGGGGATCCCTCGTCCCACGTTGCATGGCCAAGAAAGTGACCCACTCCCCCCGCCTCCGCTCCCATAGTGAACCGTAGACTCCCTGATGGTCACGTTGCCACCGGAGACGCGAATGTTCCCTGCTTTGATGGCACCTGCGCGCGTGGCAGCTTCGCTCAACTACTGCCTACCCACACCTATACCCGAATCCGATGCAGCTTCCAACAGATGCACAACGGAGAGGCTACTGTGTCGTATCAGGCCTGTCGAGATGCATGCCGCAGCTAAGATCCTAACCGTCCTAACCTGAAGCCCTAAACCCGAAACCGGCACTTCCGGGGCCGGGCCGTTCGCCACTCGCGAGTGTCACAGACCGAGCAGACTTGCGAATTATGTTGGCTATCTCCACCTCCGTGGTCATCCGTTTGATGCTCCCGTGTCCCCAACAAGCGGGCGGACAAAAACAACAGAACTCGGGCCACATGTCCAAATACAAGTTAGCCAATCTGACACGAATCAAACGTGTTTGAGCTGTTTGAGCACTAAGGCGATGTCTTGGTCAATGTTCCCTTGTGTCGGAAACAAGATCAGAATGTGCTCGGCGCGTTCTTAATTATCGCCTGCCCGTGGGCATATTCTTCTAACAGTTGCCCGTGCTTGAACAACGAAGCCCAGTTAAACGCGATTCTTGTGCGAGTGGAGATGCCAGAAGCATGTGAGCATCTGAAAAAATGAGGCGGCAATGCAATGTGATGAAGCATCATGAAAGCTCTTTGGCGACCAACGCCCCGGCAACTCCGCGAAACCGCAGGTTTCCCGGAACCACACATCGGATGAACTTCTCCAGAGCAGCGCTAGCAAACATAGTAGTCAAATTGTAGAAGCACCAGCAGCGCGGAGCTTGCAGAGGCGTTGACGACCAGAATTTGCACGTGTACTGGTTGATAGCTTGAAAGCCGCACCAGCATTCTAATTTTAACCAACGTAGTGGCAAAGAACTCGGTCAAGGCTTGAAACATCGACCGAATCCTGCATGCGACCGACATGATGTCAAACTGTCGGCTGTCCAGGCGAGAGAGAAGATAACGATATGCAAGCTGACCTTCTTCCTTGCAGAATCAGCCCTCGACATCAACATTTCTGCCAAGGCCTCTTTCCTGCCATTCTAACCTTGCTCATGTTGCAACAATGCTGTAACTGCTACGACTGAAAGACACACTCGCGAGAAGACCCGGTAAACATTGGTTTCAAACGCATGACTTGCTGTGTTGCTATGTGTTGCTGCAGGGCCAGCATCTGCCTGCAAACCTCTCAAGCTTTGAACTCGAAGAACCCTCCGCGCAGTTTTGCAGAGACCACGACTCGCTGCGTGCCACTTCTTCGGGGATCCCTCGTCCCACGTTGCATGGCCAAGAAAGTGACCCACTCCCCCCGCCTCCGCTCCCATCGTGAACCGTAGACTCCCTGATGGTCACGTTGCCACCGGAGACGCGAATGTTCCCTGCTTTGATGGCACCTGCGCGCGTGGCAGCTTCGCTCAACTACTGCCTACACACACCTATAGCCGAATCCCAAGCAGCTTCCAACAGATGCGCAACGGAGAGGCTACTGTGTCGTATCAGGCCTGTCGAGATGCATGGCGCAGACAAGATCCTAACCGTCCTAACCCGAAGCCCTAAACCCGAAACCGGCACTTCCGGGGCCGGGCCGTTCGCCACGCGCGAGTGTCACAGACCGAGCAGACTTGCGAATTATGTTGGCTATCTCCACCTCCGTGGTCATCCGTTTGATGCTCCCGTGTCCCCAACAAGCGGATGGACAAAAACAACTGAACTCGGGCCACATGTCCAAATACAGGTTAGCCAATCTGCCACGAATCAAACGTGTCTGAGCTGTTTGAGCACTAAGGCGATGTCTTGGTCAATGTTCCCTTGTGTCGGAAACAAGATCAGAATGTGCTCGGCGCGTTCTTAAGGATCGCATGCCAGTGGGCATATTCTTCTAACGGTTGCCCGTGGTTGAACAACGAAGCCCAGTTAAACACGATTCTTGTGCGAGTGGAGATGCCAGAAGCATGATAAAATGAGGCGGCAATGCAATGTGATGAAGCATCATGAAAGCTCTTTGAGGACCAACGCCCTGCCACTCCGCAAAACCGCAGGTTCCCCGGAACCACACATCGGATGAACTTCTTCAGAGCAGCGCTAGCAAACATAGTAGTCAAATTGTAGAAGCACCAGCAGCGCGGAGCTTGCAGAGGCGTTCACGACCAGAATTTGCACGTGTGCTGGTTGATAGTTTGAAACCCGCACCAGCATCCTAATTTTAACCAACGTAGTGGCAAAGAACTCGGTCAAGGCTTGAAACATCGACCGGATCTTTCATGCGACAGACATGATCCCAAACTGTCGGCTGTCCAGGCGAGAAAACTGGCAATGATGTGCAAACTGACCTTCTTCCTTGCAGAATCAGCCCTCGACAGTCGACACCAACATTCCTTCCAAGGCCCCTAACCTTGCTCAACAATGCTGTGACTGCTACGCTAAGTCGGCTGGGGCTAAAAGACACACTCGCGGGTAGACCGGGTAAACACTGGTTTCAATCGCATGACTTGCTGTGTTACTATGTGTTCTGCCTGCAAACCTCTCAAGCCTTGAACTCGAAGAACCCTCCGCGCAGTCTCGCAGAGACCACGACGCGCTGCGTGCTACTTCTTCGGGGATCCCTCGTCCCATGTTGCATGACCAAGAAAGTGACCCACTCCCCCCGCCTCCGCCCCCAACGTGAACCGTAGACCCCCTGATGGTCAGGTTGCCACTGGAGACGACCACGTCCTCGGATGCATAGATGGCACCTGCGCGCGTGGCAGCGTCGCTCAACCACTGCCTCCACACACCTATATACCTATGCCCGAATCCGAAGCAGCTGCCAACAGATGCAAAACGGAGAGGCTACTGTGTCGTATCAGGCCTGTCGAGATGCGTGCAGCAAACAGGATCCCAACCGTCCTAACCTGAAGCCCTAAACCCGAAACCAGCACTTCCAGGGCCGGGCTTGGGCCTGCTCCCCTCGACAAATCGAGTGCAAGACCGAGCAGACTTGCGAATTATGTTGGCTATCCCCACCTCCCTGGTCATCCGTTTGATGGTCCCGTCTCCCCAACAAGCGGACGGACAAAAACAACAGATTGTGAGCCACATGTCCAAATACAAGTCAGCCAATCTAACTCGAATCGAACTTGTGTGAGCACTGAGGCGATGTCATGGTCTATACCCCCTTTTGTTGGAAACACGATCAATATGTGCTCGACGCGCTCTAATCGCCTGCCAATGGGCATATTCTTGTAACAGTTGCCCATGCTGTAACAACGACAAAGCGCAGTTAAAAGCGATTCTTGTGCGAGTGGAGGTGCCGCAAGCATGTGATCATCTCAAAAAATTGGGAAGCGATGACATCTGATGAAGCATCATTAAAGCTCTTTGGCGACCAACGCCCGGCAACTCCGCGAAACCGCAAGTTCCCCGGGACCACACATCGGATGAACTTCTTCAGAGCAGCACTAGCAAACATAGTAGTCAAATTGTAGAAGCACCAGCAGCGCGGAGCTTGCAGAGGCGTTCGCGACCAGAATTTGCACGTGTACTGGCTGATAGTTTGAAACCCGCACCAGCATTCTATTTTTACCAACGTAGTTGCAAAGAACTCGGTCAAGGCTTGAAACATCGACCGGATCTTTCATGCGACAGACATGATCCCAAACTGTCGGCTGTCCAGTTGAGAAAACTGGTAATGATGTGCAAACTGACCTTCTTCCTTGCAGAATCAGCCCTCGACAGTCGACACCAACATTCCTTCCAAGGCCCCTAACCTTGCTCAACAATGTTGTAACTGCTACGCTAAGTCGGCTCGGGCTAAAAGACACACTCGCGGGTAGACCGGGTAAACATTGGTTTCAAACGCATGACTTGCTGTGTTACTATGTGTTACTGCAGGGCCAGCATCTGCCTGCAAACCTCTCAAGCCTTGAACTCGAAGAACCCTCCGCGCAGTTTTGCAGAGACCACGACGCGCTGCGTGCCACTTCTTCGGGGATCTCTCGTCCCATGTTGCATGACCAAGAAAGTGACCCACTCCCCTGGCCTCCACTCCCGCGGCGAGCCGTAGACGACCCCCTGATGGTCACGTTGCCACCGGAGACGCGAATGTTCCCTGCTTTGATGGCACCTGCGCGCGTGGCAGCGTCGCTCAACCACTGCCGCCACACACCTATATATATATATATATATGCCCGAATCCGAAGCAGTTGCCAACAGATGCAAAACGGAGAGGCTACTGTGTCGTATCAGGCCTGTCGAGATGCGTGCAGCAAACAGGATCCCAACCGTCCTAACCTGAAGCCCTAAACCCGAAACCAGCACTTCCAGGGCCGGGCTTGGGCCTGCTCCCCTCGACAAATCGAGTGCAAGACCGAGCAGACTTGCGAATTATGTTGGCTATCCCCACCTCCCTGGTCATCCGTTTGATGGTCCCGTATCCCCAACACGCGGACGGACAAAAACAACAGATTGTGAGCCACATGTCCAAATACAAGTCAGCCAATCTAACTCGAATCGAACGTGTTTGAGCACTGAGGCGATGTCATGGTCAATGTCCTCTTTTGTCGGAATCAAGATCAAAATGTGCTCGACGCGTTCTTACACAGCGGTTCCCTCAGTTATTCCGGTGTTATAACCCTTTTGTAACCCTCGAATAACCCTTTGATAAACATGTTATGAGGCCGGCTAACTTTCAAAAGTTAGCCGGCGGTTATGATGGAGTTAGCGCCAGGATCAAAAAGCTACAGAGGGGTGATCAGGGGTTATGTTGTTTGTGTTTTGGATTGTAAAAAAGTTAGCCGGCTTACGAACGATCGAAATCCACATCGTTTTAGCTTCCTGGAAGACCGAAGGTTGTGCGGAAGTCGAACTGTTTTGCATGGTTTTTGCGAGGTTCATATGTGGATAGTTTTATCCAGCGAGACCACAGCGACTGCCTGGCTCTGGCTAGAAGGTTCAATGCTTCGGCCCCTGTTCTAATGACGTTTGCAACGTTTGTCGACCTTGTTGGAATCTCGCCGAAAGTGAGTGTGTGACCCTTTTGTATTGAGACTGCAGAAGAGGTGCCAGCAGAGCGTTTAGGGCCTAGTTTAGGGTTAAGGGTGTGAGGCTTCATCTTCAGGGCTTTGGGAGGGGTTTGCTCCGACTATCTTCGATTTCCGCAAGTATTCAGCTGTTTTGCCCCTTCACCCACTTTACATGCCTCGCTAAATCAAGCCAGTTCAAGCTGCACTCTCATTTTCGCGGAAACAGCCATGAATAAGTTACAGTTGCTTAAACCATCGTTAGGCCTAACTATGTCATAACCCCGGAATAGCTGAGGGAACCGCTGTGTATCGCCTGCCAGTGGGCATATTCCTTCTAACAGTTTGCCCATGCGTGGACAACGAAGCCCAGTTAAAAGCGATTCGTGTGCGAGTGGAGATGAGCATCTGAATAAATGAGGTGGCAATATTTGATGAAGCATCATTAAAGCTCTTTGGCGATCAACGCGCGGCAACTCCGCGAAACCGCAGGTTTCCCGGAACCACACATCGGATGAACTTCTTCAGAGCAGCACTAGCAAACACAGTAGTCAAAGTGTGGAAGCACCCCAGCTGGGAGCTTGCGAAGGCGTTCACGACGAGAATTGGCACAAAAGTCAATCAACGTATTTGCAAGGGAATCGGTCAAGGCTTGAAGCATCGACCGGATCTTTCATGCGACCGACGTGATCTCAAACTGTCGGCTGTCCAGGCGAGAAAGCTGGTCATGATGTGCAAGCTGACCTTCTTCCTTGCAGAATCAGCCCTCGACACCAACATTTCTGCCAAGGCCTCCTTTCTGCCATCCAAACCTTGCTCATGTTGCAACAGTGCTGTAACTGCTACGCTAAGTCGGCTCAAACTAAAAGACGCATTTGCGGGAAGACCAGGTAAACATTGGTTTCAAACGCCTGACTTGCTGTGTTAAAGCAGGGGCAGCGTCTGCCATCTGCCTGCAAACCTCTCAAGCCTTGAGCTCGAAGAACCCTCCGCGCAGTCTCGCAGAGACCACGACGCGCTGCGTGCCACTTCTTCGGGGATCCCTCGTCCCATAGTGCATGACCAAGAAAGTGGCCCGCTCCCCCTGCCTCCGATGTCGCGAGCCGTAGACCCCCTGATGTTCATGTTGCCACCGGAGACGCTAATGTTCCCTGCGCTGATGGCACCTGCGCGCGTGGCAGCTTCGCTCAACCACTGCCTCCACACACCTATATACCTATGCCCAAATCCGAAGCAGCTGCCAACAGATGCAAAACGGAGAGGCTACTGTGTCGTATCAGGCCTGTCGAGATGCGTGCAGCAAACAGGATCCCAACCGTCCTAACCTGAAGCCCTAAACCCGAAACCAGCACTTCCAGGGCCGGGCTTGGGCCTGCTCCCCTCGACAAATCGAGTGCAAGACCGAGCAGACTTGCGAATTATGTTGGCTATCCCCACCTCCCTGTCATCCGTTTGATGGTCCCGTCTCCCCAACAAGCGGACGGACAAAAACAACAGATTGTGAGCCACATGTCCAAATACAAGTCAGCCAATCTAACTCGAATCGAACTTGTTTGAGCACTGAGGCGATGTCATGGTCAATGTCCTCTTTTGTCGGAAACAAGATCAAAATGTGCTCGACGCGCTCTTACGTTGAAACTTTGTGTTGGCGATAGACCCCCCCACCTCCACAGGTTGCATCGCACCTCCTTGCGTCAACAAGCGCATTCCGACTTCGCAGCGTGCCTGCAAGAGTCAGCTTCGCATCAGCAGAATGCGTGTGAAAGTCCGCCAAGCATACTCGTGCAAAGACGGCGCCTTTCTCGGACAACGCAGCAAATGCCAGAATCCGGCCTCCAACTCTGATGCCGCCTCCAAATGTTGCTTCGCATTTATGCAGAAACAGCTGGCCGCCCAGCAGATCGGCATCGCCGTCCACGCTGAGGCAGCCTCCTCTGCCTTCCTTCCCCAGAGCCTGGTTCTTGCAGCCCTGAAGGCTGAGGCGTGCTTCCGGGTGCAATGTAAGGTTGCCGACGGCGAGGCACGCGCAGCTCATCGGCTTGGTGGCCTCCACTCTCAGCTGCCCTGCGAAGACCACGCTGCCCGCGAAGTGCACGGGTGCCGAGAGGAGAAGCTTGGCGCCTCGACAGCAGGGCGGGCCACTGGCTGGACTCGGCTCTGGTCCCCGCTCTCTCAGGCTCCCGCTCCCATTCACCCGACACGAAGGCCCCTCCATGAACACCACCTCCTTCCTCTTCACCTGTCTTTGGAGCTGGGGCTTCGTGTTTTCTGGTGGAGGTCCGAACTACAGAGTCGCTCACGAAGTGGCCGGGCCTTCCAGCAGGCTGGGACGTGACACGCCGAATCGATAATGCTTCTTAGGGCTCAGAGCCTCTGGAAGGGCTATTGTTGATAGGGGAGTGTGTCATGTGGAGTCCCGTTGCCCTTCATTTGCCATGAACTCCGTTGCGGCAATTGGTAGCATTGGCTTGCAAGAGAAAGCGAAGAAGCGGCGACCGTGCGGCCAAAGCGGCGTGCTCAAGCCCGGACTCCCTACCAGAAGCAACAGCACACCGCATGGGCCTCGTAAACTCCATCGAGCTGGAGGATGCCGTCCGAACACTTTGGAAGGACAACCTGAACTGGGAGCTTCAACCCTAAACTCTATTAAAGCCTAATACACCCTTTAGGGCCAAAGCCATCATAAACCTAAAACCATCATTAAAGCCTATAGTCAACTGCAAAGACCCTAAACCTGAACTTGGAGTTTTTGTCACCTCAAGGCCTCGGACCTTCGGTAATCTTTACAGCTTTGCTTCTGGGGTCTACCTGTTACAGTTCTCGCAGACCTCGTCTTCTGCATGATCTAACGGGGGGCGGTCCCCCGTGATGCACCATATGCCGACCAACACCCTGCATCCCGCATGTAGGAATTCCGCAAACTCCAGCACAGGTTTCGGGCTTGGCGAGGCCTGAGGACTCGGCAGGTGCCTGGACGTCCGTTGAGGGGCCGGAGCTTTCCTGCATATCGGCACCAGACAAGGGGCAGTGCGGGCCAGGTGCGGTACAGTAAAACATGACCGGTCACTCGTGGAGTCCTGTACTCCATGAGCAGCAGGCGGTGCTTTGGTTTGCTTCTCTTGCTGCTCTGAGTCCCTGGCTTCGATTTCGTCATCTGGGTCCGGAAGAAAGAAGGAGTCGTACGCATGATCTTCTTTTGGCGTCTCCTGCACAGCAGCGAAGGGTGCGCCAGGGAAGGCATCTTAAACAGCACAGTAACACGTCATATGTGTATTAACTGGCTCTATTTTCAAGGAGTCCTGTACTCCATGAGCAGCATGCGGTGCTTTGGGTTGCTTCTCTTGCTGCTCTGAGTCCCTGGCTTCGATTTCGTCATCTGGGTTCGGAAGAAAGAAGGAGTCGTACGCATGATCTTCTTTTGGCGTCTCCTGCACAGCAGCGTGCACAACACAGGCGAGGGGCAGTGCGAGCGAAGGGTGCGCCAGGGAAGGCATCTTAAACAGCACAGTAACAGGTCATACGTGTATTAACTGGTTCTATTTTCAAGGGGTCCTGTACTCCTTCAGCAGTCAGCAGTGCTTTGCCTCGCTTCTCCTGCTGCTCAGACTCCCTGGCTCTGTGACCTCGGGCCCATCAGCGAAGAGTTGCGATGCAAGATGCGGGGAGAGGGGCGCCTGAAAGCCTCGGCCCCTTGCGTCGAGTCAGGAAGGTGTCGGCTTCGCGCAGCAGTCGCTGGTCTGCAGTGCCTCCAGGAGGGGCGCAATTAGTAAGGCGAGCGCACGCACACACAAAGGAGACACCGCTGAGCCCCTGGCGTTCAGCTGACACGATGTAAGAAAACACGGCGGCGCAGAACAGCAAGCACACGGCCATGTGGCCGTTCTGACAAGCTTTCACAGACTACATGTACATATGGATGCACAGTCCGGGGCAAAAGCATCAGAGCCCCGGCGAGCTGCGGACCGCAAGAAGACATGGTGAGAGGGTTCGGCCGCAAGCGCCGGCCGTCACAGAGTTGCCTATATATTGACATGGAATGAAAAAGCCCTCAGGAAGTGTAATGAACTATATCAGCATTTTATCTTCTGTATCATATAATCAGAGTCCAAACCAACAATGATGAGCGTAAAGTCGCTTTGAAGGCTCATGGGTGCAGTTGTAAGTTCAACCTGGCAGCAAATCCTACACAAAGTAGTGCCCCCGTTGACTACAATCCTAGCTTAATTACATGCAACTGTCGAAAAGGCTCAGTATAATTGCAGCAAGTTTGATGTAACGAGGTGATCGCATGTGGCAGTTGTCGATGCTTTGCTCCGAAGTGGAGCGCTTCCGCCACCCCTGCAACCCTGAACACAAAACCTAAAAACCTAGCCCCCGAGTTTCCGAATCTATAGAGCTATGCCCGTAGTAGATACGATAAGGTTTATAGTTTTAGAGTTTGGGGAAACCATGCATAAAGTTTCCGGATTTCGGTTTCCTACATCCAATATACATCCTCCCATGATTTGAGGTCGCTCCTGGCCATTGGGTTCACGCCACACCACTGCACCAACATGACGGCGTCAACACCTCAGCTTTTGCAGTAGACCCATGACGATTAGAGGTTTAGGTTTCACGGTTTATAACCTGGCCTTGGTACTTCCTGTATCCAGGGACTGTTACCTAAAACAAACCCTCAGGCACAACATGAATACCACACAGTTGCCATTACCCAGTAGCTGTATGGTACCATGGCTTTCAAGTTGCAACGGATTCCTGAGGAACATCCAGAAGGAGGATTCACTCAGCATGAGCCCTTGACTGTATATCCCATAGCCCGGAATAATTTGAACTTCTTCCCGATTATTTACAGTACCGGACCAAGGCCCCATTGTGAGTATTAAGACTGTAAGCCCATGATCCGGCGATGGAGTTCGCACGCCTACGGGCGCCACAGCCCCAAAGCCCCAAATCCCAAAGCCGAAACCCGTACCCAACAGCCGCCAAACTCCAGAACGTTGTAGTCGGGTCTCTCGCTCCCTATAGGTCCATGCGCCTTAGAGTATCGGCAACATGTAGGCCTGAATCGGGCCCCCAGAGCATGACTTGCGGTCCAAAGCATATACCATGTGGGTCATGTAGGAGCCCCAACATGCAGAACTGGGCTCCTTGGCTTTCCTGTAACATACACTGAAAGCCAAAACCCTCTTCTAACATTAAGGTCCCTCCAAGTCCATGCAATAGGGTTCCTTGCCTGTCGTGAATATTAAACTATCACATAGTAAAATATACCTAAAGCCTATAAACCCTCAATCCCAAACCCAAAACCCTAAACCCTCAACCCATTTTGAATGAACCCTGAGGACCTGAGGGCCTTCATTGAAAGGCTAGGTGCCCCAAGCCTCGCAGAAGTCGCCCACCTGAGGATCAGGGCGACACTGTACGGTCCCGAAAGCCAGCTTTAAGGATGGTTTACCTGGAGTCATAACCCCTCCTTAAACGTACATGCCGACTTGGTTGGTCCTCGGAAGCAGCATCCAGTCAGTCCGCCTGCGCGGAGACTGATTCCTGAGGATTTATAACGTTTGGGGCAAGCCTGTTCAAGGTCCTACAATCTTACAAATCCCAAACGGTAGCCCCCAACCCCTAACTAGCCATAAAAGACACAGAATCCTAAACCCTAAAACCCTCAACCCCCGAAGCCTCGCAACATCAGCATCCCTTGCAGTCTCCGGATCCCCAAGGTCCCAACAAAAACCCGACACCGGACAAACTCGAAACCCCAATTTAGTAGACCCTTTTAGTTTCGGGCTTCGGCTTTAGGGCAATAGAGGTTTCATATGACTCACATCATGGAGATTGCATGGTACTTGAGGGTTCAAGATTTGGGGCGCCGCCGTGAGGTGTACCAGGCTTTAGAACAGACCTAAATCCATGACCCTAAACCTTGAACCCATACTCCTAAACTCAACCCTCAACTCCGAACCCATAGCCGTGAAACCATTGCTTGAACTTAACTATAAGCCCACAATCCCAAGCCCTAGACCAATAACCCTAAACCCACAACCCTGAACCCGTATAAACCCATGACCCTGAACCCCTTCACATGGGCCTGCACCAGCAAGACAAGATTGGGAGTCGCAGCCTTCTACTTCATCGACTCTTCGAAGAGACCTGACTGAACAGTCTGACCGGGATTTCGACTGGCAGGGACTTGGGCTTAGCGTTTAGGGTCTGGCGGTTAAGTAAGGATTGGGGTATGACCGATTTCGCTTGGCAGGGGCTTGAGTTTTTGCTGAGGGCTTAGGGTTTAGGGTCTCGGGGTTAGGCTTTGCATTTCGTGGCCTACGGTTTGGGATCTAAGGTTGGGGCCACACAACTGAAACTCACAGCAAGCACAAACATGTTCATGCTCGCATCCATGCTTCACCTCACTCAGAATGTTACAGGTTCAGATACATACCGACAGGTATGAATAGACGTTCATGCATGTACATACCCACGTACATACACGTATACACGCACACACATAAACATACACATACACAAATATGGATACAGGTATGTATACACATATGTGTATACATATCCATATCCATATCCAGATACCTGTGTACTTTTTGCTGTCTGTACCTGTATACATATGTATATATATGTATATATATACACATGATACGGATGTGTACGCTTGTGCACCTACATACGAGTGTTTCTGCCAAGCTGGCGTCCAAGCAGTCATGTTGGGATTGGGGGCATGTTTTGAGATATGCTGCGGTTAAGCGCCAGCTTTAGAGTAGTGTAAGCACTGCCTGGCATGCTGAATCGATGGTTGATTTTTTCGCCCCAGCGCTACGAGGCATGTTGGCCTAGGAGAAGGGCTTCGGTGTTTCTGAAACCGAAAACGATGTTCATGCTTGTTGTTCGTTCGGTTTTGTGCTGCTCTGAACCTTTTGACATTTCCTAGCCAGTGCTTGGTCGCGCGATATCCAGGGAATGGAATCATTATATTGTTTACATAATTTGATACCTGAACAGTTAGCGCACCACAAATCCAAATTTGTTTATGGTCGGTCTAATCGAACGAATCAAGGACAAGGAGAATTCGGATGGATCCGGCCCGGGCCATCTGAAATAAATTGCAAACGAACGAAGAGGCACCCGGAGAATTCGGACGGCTCCGGCCCGGATTTAATTTAGATAAAGATACTTCGGAAGTCCCCAGCTCGGACCATCATAAAACAATCGGAAACGAGCGAACCAAAACGCACAAGGAGAATTCGGATGGTTCCGGCCCGGACCATCTTAGATAAACGGAAAACGAACGACAAGGCAGAAAAGGCAGAAGGAGAATTCGGACGGCTCTGGCCCGAGGCAAAGTTAGACTCAGTTAGACAACTGAAAACGAACGAAAACGCAGAAGAATTCGGATGGCTCCGGCCCGGACCATGTCAGATAGAGCAACCCTACAAAAGCTTCGAAAAAACATTCAAAACACAGCGCCACATCGAGAAGGATTTCTAGTGCACTTTAAGATGAGAATCTCTTCAACTAATGTTCAACAACCCGCAGCCCCAAAAGCTTGTGCCCAAAAGAAGCTGAAACCAATCACCCGCAACCCTCAGACTCTAAACCCTAGTCCTGAAAACCCGATCGGCGTAAGCGGATTACTGAGATTCTAAGCCCCAGGTGCAGCGACAATGTTTGGGCTTAGATTGTAAAATACTCGTGCTTAACAACTTTCACACTTGCGGAGCGTGGTCTATGGCGACAGCACCACAGTGCGAACGGGATGTGATCACGGTCGGGCCAAATGTTCTCAGAAAACCATGGACCTCATCATGTTTGGGCCAAGGGTGTTCTCTTGTCAGAGCGGATTGGACCATGGACGTCATCAAGGTTGGGCCAAGGATCTTCCTTCTCAAAATGGGCTAGACCATGGTCGTCATCGGGGTGGGAGGAGGGAAACAACCTAACCTAACACTAACCTAAACCCTACGCCCAGCTTCCCCTGATGAGGGGACCTGAACCCAAGGAGAACAACTAAGGCTGGGCCCCTAAGCCCGACCTTAGCCCGCTTTCCCCGGAAATTTGGGGAGCAAGGCCCTAAACCCTATGCCGGGTTTCCCCTGCAAAATTGGGGACCTCGGCGAAACCCTATGCCTGGTTTCCCCCTTCGGGGGGCCTAGGCAGGTATGTCCTAAACCTTAAACCAAACCCTGAAACGAAACCACCCCCACACGCAAACCGCAACCCTAGAAACCAGGGGGGAAAGGAGGGGTGGGGGGGAAGTTTGAGCCAGTCTATACACGTCTGTGCACACATGTCTGTACAGAAACATGCCAGACAAGGCCGGAAAGCATTTTGGCCGGGGTGACATGAAAGCCTGGCTATCACCGAACACAACGGCGAAGCAGGTTGGTAATGATCCCTGCCTGCAATGGCTCAGGGCACATAGGATCGATGGAGTTAACAGGAGTAACCCGCGGACCCAAAACAACTCTTTCGCAAAGGGTTTAAGGAAGAATTCAAGAACAGCCTGAAGAATGTCATCGGCAGGCAAACCAAGTCCAAGCCAACTGGTATTTCGGATGGCTGGCATGCATGCATGCATGCATGCACGCATGCATACAAAAACGAACAGAATACATACACGTACATACACTCATGGAACCAGTCATACACACACACACACACACTATATATGTGTACATACACACCTCTCCGACGTTCCACCACAAACCAATTCAGGTGCCCTGGCCTCTCCAGGAAGTCCGGCGCATGTCAGTCCAACAACCTGGCTGCATCATCGTATACATATAAGGCTCGATTGACAACAAGAGGAACAAGTTGTAGGGTCGAGAGTTAAATGTATTTAGGAAAATTGTGTGTGCATA